CTGTGGAGACTTCTGCTACATTGGTACTCATCCTGCACCCCAGAGGACTTGTCTTTGGGTGCCTTCATGCTCACAGGTGTGTGCCCTGCACAGCTTGAACCTGCCATCATTTTCCTTAATTAATGAGAAAAGGCTACTCTGCCACTGCTGCCTGCCCGCAGAATCCTTGGAGCCATGTTAGACATTTTCCTCCTTCTTCCTTGTTTAACTTATAAATGGACATCACATTGGTTGTTTTTCCCTTAGCAGTCGTGGAACTGACCCTTTTCTCTCCTCTTGAACAGCCACCTCACAGTTCCCTCAGCCCAACCTACCGGGCCATTGCCCTCACTTCACAGGCAGATAAATCTGTCCATCTCTGAGCTGCCCCTGCTCACTGGTCAGCAGTGCTGTCCCTCACTTCCTGCCTAGGCCGGCTCTTGTCTTCAGTCCAGGCCCTCTTGCCTTACCTGCCCCCAGCTCCAAGCAGGCTCTCCCTATTGCTGTGGGCTCCCTGGTTCTGTGGTTCCTGCCACAGACTCACCTTCTCACATGCCCTGGGCATGACCTCTGCAGGACTGTGATTTGTCCTGTTTATTAAACTGGACAGCTGTTTCCTAATGGCTTTCAGGAGGCCTGTCCTCCAGAAGTCTTAGTCCTAGTCTTCGGGAGAAGATGGTGGGGAAACAGGCTGTTCGTGGAGATTTCTAAAGCAGGCCATCTGCAGGGAGCCCAGGTCAGCTCTGGTTTAGTGCCCTGCGATGGATTTCAAGTGAAGTCAATTTGCTGATCATATTTCTGTCATAGTATAAGTCCTCTTCTATGTCATGATAAACATTGGGTCAGGGGCTTTGGGCTGCCAGGGAAGTGGTTGCTTAATCTCAGGCAACCCATGGTTACATGGCCTGAGGGATTGACTGGTTTTATAGAAAGAAGCCAGGTGCACCTGAGACTCAGGCTCCTGTGACTTCTTCTGGGGCTGCTGTGTCGCAACAGCCAGCTGTGTACGTGCTGCCCAAGACACAATCTCTTCCCTGTCCCTGCTTCATGAGGCCTACGCTTCTGCAAGGCATTGGAGCTGGTTTGTGGGTCAGAGCGCGAGATCAGGTAGTGGTTTTCTTAACTGGTCAAATTATCTGAGGATTAACAGCAGCAGCAAGTCAGGATGTCTTTCTAGGAGATTCTTTTATTATTATTTATTTGTATGTTTATTTTTTTGTCTCATCACCATGTGCATTGAACTATGGCCTTTTTAAACCAAAGTCCATTAGCTACCTGTGAACACATACTCATAAAGTTGAAGGAATTCTTTGGTGAACTTCTGGGGTGGCCTGAATAAGGGCAGTGGGTCCCTGTATATAGCTTGGGCAGTGTGTGTTGAAGGAGAAATAATTCCTCAACTGTTCCTCCTGGATGATTTTACTCTGGGGGAAAGGAATCTTTGGATTCCAATGGCAAGATTATATTTAGAAACACTCAACTCCAGTCATGTTTCTGTCTTCCATTCTGCTGAGACAGAAATTTGGATTATGTATTATGGTTACTGATCCTATTGGAGTGCTTTCTGATTTATAAGGCATGTTCAATAAACTATCCCATCTCATCCTCACAGCAGTCCCGTGAGGGAGCTTTTATCCCCACATCAGATGTAAGTTGCTAAGCCTCTGAAAGACTGAGTGATGTTGCCTGGTTGTTTTAGTTGTTGAGTGATGAGGTTTAGACTCAACTTAAGACATCTGGCTAGAAAGAGGCAGTGAACTGAGAAGGCCTGGGGACACATTAGGCTGGGACTCAGATCTTGGCTCTACCTATTTTCTATCCTTTCTTTTCTCTTTCCTCTTTTCTCTTCTCCTCTCCTCTCCTCTCCTTTTCTTTCATTCATTCATTCCTATCAGGGTTCAAGCCCAAGAATGCTTTACTACTAATAGCTTTTAATTGCTTTTTAAATTTTTGAGACGGGGTCTTTTTACTCTTTCTTTCTTTTCAGTATAGGGTCTCACTAAGCTATGAGACTTGTAGTGATCCTCTTGTGTTGGCCTCCCCAGTGCTGGGATTACAGGTGTGTGCCACCATACCAGTTTCAGTGGCTGGCTCAGTACCTAGGGCCGGCACTGCATGCAGTACCAAGGATTGAACCCAGGTCCTTGCGCTTGCCAGGCAGGCACTTAGGCCACTGAGCTATCTGCCCACTCCCAAGACAGGGTCTTTTAAAATTGCCTAGTCTGACCTCAGACTTGTGACCTACCTGCCGCAACCTCTCAACCTGGGATTGTAGGCATGCATCTCTATGCCCAGCTCAGATTTTTCATTTAAAAATTTTTTTCTGATAGAAATGAAAACTATTCAATATGGTGAAGCGTATAAAATAATCTCTAGTTGCCTCTTTTTATGGACCATATTCCTCCATGATCTCTTTCCTTGTGTTAGCCCAGGCTGGTTGTGCGCCAGCCTGCTAAACAGTCATCTTGGACAGATCTTTCACTGTCCACATGGTAACTCTTCTTGCCTTTCTCTTCTCTTGGATCTTTTATTTCTTTGGTTCTGTGGCCCTTTCCTTTTTCATTTACTTTTTGTTTTGGTAGTGCATAGCTTCCTATAGTTTTCTAAGAATGCTTTGATGGCTAAGTTTGCACATTTGATGTCTTTGCCCTGTGTGAACCTTCTTTCATGATTGACAGATAATTTGACTAGATATAGAATTCTAGTTGGAAGTGATGCTTCCTGAGAATTGTGAAGGCATCTCTTCACTGTCATCTGGTATCCTGATGGGCTACTTTTTTTTTTTTTTTTTTCCAGTTTTGACCTCTGATTTTTTGTATGTGATATTCTTTTTTCTTTGAAATTTTCCAGATTTCCTCTTCAGCAGTTGTTCTGAAAGTTTTCAGTTGATAAACCTTGATGAGTGCTTTTTTTTTTTTCATGATGCTGGGCTTACCCAGCTAGAGATGTACATCCTTCATTTCTGGGACATTTTCTTTTTGTTTTTTTTGTTTTTTTGAGATAGGGTCTTGTTATGTAGTTCAGGTTGCTGCCCTTGAACTTTCCATGTAGCCCAAGCTGGCCTTGAATTTATAGTGATCTTCCTGCCTCAGTCTCTAAAATGCTAGAATTACAGGCATGTGCTATCAGCTCCAGCTTTTTTTTTCTTTTAATAATCTTTTCCTTTCTTTTTTTCTTCTGGAGTTTCTTTAATTTGGTTTTTGCACTTAATGGATCCATTCTCTTATTTTTATTACATGCCTTTTTTTTTTTTTTTTTTTTTTTTTTTTTTTTTTTTTTGGTGATTTGGGACAGGATCCCACTGTGCAGTTCTAGCTGTCCTTGAACTCACTATGTAACTCAGGCTGGCCTCCAACTTACTGTGATCCTCCTGCCTCAGCCACCCAAGTGCTGGGATTATAGACATGTACCACTGCACTTGACATACATGTCCTTTTTCTTAATCATTTTGTTTTATTTTCTAGGAAATTTTTTTCTGTACTGTTTCCAACTGTTTCCAAGTTCTTTTTTGTATTTTTCTTGATTGTTATCTATTTGTTCTTCTTCTTTTTTTGGTTCATAGATGTACTGTTTTATTTCTGTGAGAATTACATTTTTTTTTCCTTTAGAGTTTCATTTTTCCATTAGTTTGTTTTGGTCTCTGTCTTTTGTGTCAGTATAAAAGAGGCCTCTGGGCACATGCCTATAATCCCAGCAATTTTCAAACTTTAGCCCAGTCTGCACAATTTAGCGAAACTGTCTCAAAATTTAAAAAATAAAAAACAGGCCTGGGGATATAGCTCAGTGCAAAGGCCCTAGGTTCAATCTTAAGTGGAAGGAAGGAAAGAAGAAAGATAGGTAGATAGGAAGGAAGGGGGGAGAGAGAGAGAGAGAGAGAGAGAGAGAGAGAGAGAGAGAGAGAGAGAGAGAGAGAGACCGACCTAGTAGGCAACTCTAGAGTACGAGGAGGGGGTGGAAGGGAGTTGCTTTCAGGATCCTCATAGTGAAGTGTAGAGTGGGGACTCATGTTTCATTGGAGAGTCTTGAAAAGGATTTTTTTTTTCTTACCTAGTTCAGGCTGCCTTAAGGGCAGGTCTGGTGTGGCTGGTGGAGCTGGGGATTGAACCATGGTCCTATGCGCCTGACTGCATTTGCTAAAGCAGCACTTTAGAAAACTGAGCTATCCTCTAAGCCCCCTTCATTGGAGGTTCTTGAAACCATTATCTCTACACTGTTCTTCTTTTTCTCTTTAGTTGCTCCAGAGAAAAAAATTCTCTAATCACTTGCCTAAGAAGTAAAGCTGACCACAGCATCTAGAAGGGGGTAGGGGGCGTTCAGGGGCAGGCGCGTGGAAAGATGAGTGATCTCAAGGTTTGATTTGTGTGTGTTCCTATGTCTCCCACACTGTACCTGGTGAGCTGTCTGTACAGTAACCCCTTGTCTCCTGCCAGGTGGGCCATGAGTATTGTGTAGGTACCTGGCTTGGCAAGGTGTCTGCTTTGTGACCGCTCCTCCTCAGACTCCCCCCCCCCCCGCTTTTAGCGTACCCTTCCCCATGCCTGTGGGGTGCCTGCTACCTCCAGCTCCCCGGGTCCAGGACTCTAGGAAGCATGGGCTTGTTTCTTGTTGGCTGAGTGAGATAAGCTAGAGCCTTCCATGCACCCACTCCCTTCGTAAACATGAATGGGTGTCTCATTTTCCTGCAGATCGCATGCTTTGGCACTCTAGGTAGAATGGAGCTTTCATTTGTGCCACTGTGTGGAAGCTGGGATAAGTGACCTCGAGGAAGCTTTGGATTGCAGCCCATACATCCTTAGGGAAGTGCAGGGAGTGGCCAAGCAGCTAGAGAGTGGGTGTGGGCTGGGAAGTGTCCTTGGAAGTAGACATATGTGTATTGGTGATGCCCTGAGCTCCATCAGCCTCATCTCCTGCAAGTAAAATGTGCTCTAGGCAGCACATCCAACCCACCCCCCCCACCCCCCGTTCTTCCTTGGGCCAGAATACAAACTGGGACTCAAGGTCCTTGACTCTTTGATCCTCAGGTGGTCCTGCCGACCTATCTGTCCTCAGCAAAAGTCTCTCCACTCATCGAGAGAATATCCGACCCCAAGGACTTGAAAAAACTTCTCAGGACCCGGAACAATGTGCTGGTGCTCTATTCTAAATCTGGTGAGTGTTTTCCCTGGCCTTGGGGTCAGCCATCAGGATTGGGGGTAGTGATGGAGAGGGGTGAAGCAGAGGTAGGAGGGGAAGACCTTAGGGTAAAAATAGCATTGTTTCCCTGCATGGCATGGCAAGCACTCGGGGTGTGCTTCACCAGAGTAGTTGATTAATTGGCCTGGGGCTGGCTGAATTAGTCATAAGCTTGGGGACACTCAGCCTGGCTGGTAGCCCTGGCCCTGCCTAGCCCCTGTTTGTCCCACTGTGGTATCAGACCCAAGATTGACTTTGGAGTGGACCACGAGCTCCAGGCATAGCAGCCTCGCTGGAAAGCAGTAGCTGCTCTCTCTTGACCTTGAGTTTGGCAAGGGTGTAGTGGTCAGAGGTTTGCCCAACTCTGGGCAGCAAATCTGGGGAAGGCTGAGTGGCCAATTTTGTTGATGTTGTTCCACCAGTTAAGTGCTTTTGTTGCTCCTGAAGTTGCCAGGTTTTCCATGCCCTGAAGAAGCAACAGCCAGTAGCTGGGCCAGTTCTGGCATGGCCTTCTCCAGCAGCTCATCTTTAGCTGTTATTGGCATGTGGGCTGATGTGCATTTCAGTTGCCTTGTTTGTTTTTGGTCTTTTTGATTTTACCATATTTTTTTGGTTGAACTGTTTTTTAGGGGAGGTTTATTTTTTGGTTTTGTTGCCAAGGACCGAACCCAGGGCTTCCAGCTTGCTAGGCAAGCATTCTACCACTGAGCCAAATCCCCAACCCCTGATGTGCATTTCAGATGGATGTCTCTCCTAAAACCATTCCCCGCCCCCAGCATTATGGCACATGGCTGTCCTCAGTGCCACTTGCTGCTGTTTCCCCTTCTGAGGGTCTGGCACACCCACTCCTTGGGTTTGCATTCGGAAGGCCAGCATGGACCAGCATCTGTGCTGTGAGGAAGGGGTGTGTGGCAAGGCCAGGGAGAAGCAGTAGCTCTCTCGAGTCCGGTGTTCAAGGCCTTGAATAAATGTGGCTCACACCTTGGATGCTTCTGGAGCTGCGCTCGCTGTCAGTGTAGCAGTGTGCCACGTGCCTTCTCTGGGGCGGATCCACAATCTAAGGTGGCATCATCAGACTGTCTCATCTGCTCCTTTGCCACAGGAGAGCCAGTGCAGGCTGTCATAGGTATCCAGTTTGCAAATGAGGACATGGAAGCTAGCAGAGAATAATTAACTTGCTTGAGGTCTACCAGCGAGTACAGCAGAACTGGACCCGGACCCGTCTGCTGCCTCTGCCTCTTCTGTCCTCTGATGCGAGACAGGAAGGAAATAGAAGAGTTAATTGTGCAGTGGCAGAGGGCTTTGAGACCAGCGTGGGGCTGAGCAGGAAGGTGAGGGTCTCTGGGTCCTGCCCTTCTCCTAGCCCAGTCTAGGTGGCCAGCACTAGGGTCTCTGTGCTATCCCCTTCCCAGGCACTTTCTGACTTTGGCGTGCTAGGGGTGGGGCCTGCACCATAGCGCCTTTGCCCATGCCAGTTGCCTGAGACTTGTGCCCTCCAGGGGCTTTAACAGCATTGTAGAATAATTTTTTTTTCTCCCTGCCATTCTTCCAGCTAGCACCTCCTTTTGCATGGCTGAAAGGCACAGCTAGGGCGAGGATACTTTACATTACCTCCTTTAATCCGTGCCCCCAGCCCCTCCCAGGGCCTGTCTGCCATCTAGAACAATGGCTTTGCCGCCTCCGTGGTTCGCCCTCCTCCATGGCCCTGGCCAAGGTTTCTTGGGAGTGCCTCCTCTGAGCAACTTGTGCATGTTTCCTGAACGATGCTTTTTGTTCGCATCTGTGAAAAGCTCAGCATGCTTTGTATTCACAAACAGCTACCATTATCCACACTGGAAGAGCTGCTCTGTAGAGACACATAATTCAGACATCATTTCTGCTTGGCCTTCGGATGTATCATACGGTGTCTGGCAGGAGAAGGCAGCAGATCCCTCTCCCCACCAACATCTACCCAGTACGTCTTTTGAATGAGCTTGCTAGGATCACGGGGAAAGGTGACCAGGAGTCTACTGGCTGCTCCACTATGGATTATTCAGGCTGGAGAGGTTGCAATCCTGGCCCTGGCACTTGTCCCTGAAGGCCTGCTTTCGCACAGCAGCACCCAGATGCTTTTTGCCTAGACACACAGGGTGACACCTGGACCAAGGAAAGACTCTGCCTCCACCTGTCTTGGGGCCTAAAACTGTTGGTCACAAATATTTTATTTTCTCTTCTTTTACAGAGGCAGCAGCTGAAAATCATCTCAGGTTATTGTCCACTGTGGCCCAGGCAGTGAAAGGACAAGGCACCATCTGCTGGGTGGATTGTGGGTATGTCCTGGGTACATGAAAAACTGCGCTGGGGGCTGTGGTGGGTCCCTGGGCTTCGGTGGGTCAGCCTTTGTTTAATATGGAGGGAGTATTGGAAGATGCCCCCAAGAAGATGCTTGGGGGCACCCGTGTCCTGGGCAGGGAGGTGTGGCTTTGTCTCCTTTGCTTTTAGGCCCCTTCCCCTCCTCATTTTCCACAGAGCTTTCACTTGGGTTATGTTCTCATATGTTGCTTTCTTTTGAGGGGTGGGGGGGCGGAGGGGTCCTCCTTGTTTTACAGAGTGGAGCCTTGCTGCTTAGAGGCAGGATGATTTTCAGGCTCACACATTGGATTGGTTGTGTGGGTTCTGTAGCAAAAACCACAGTTTCACCTCCAACCCAGGCCCTTCCCACTGGATGTCTCTGCCATCTGCAGCGCTGAGGTCTTGCAGTTCACTGGCAGCTTGACTGGGCCTTGGCTCCTGACTGGCTCAGGCCTGTAGAGGGCTAAAACCTTCGATGGTGCTATTTTTGCCTGAACCATAAGCCCTGCCTCTGCCCTGCAGGTTAAGTGAGCTTTTATAGGCCCCACTCCAGTGTAATCCTCTTCCTATTCAGTTTGAGATCTAAATGGCTGTTTTGCCAGTGAAGTTTTAGAATACACTGATTTTAAGTTGATGACCTCAGACTTGTTCAGCCTGTGATTAGAGAGAATTGAAGGAACTTCATGTTTTCATAAAGCAGTGAATGCTAAGAGAGTTGGTCTTAGCCTCCAATGGTGTAAAGTAAATAAATGTGTGCATATGTGTGAATCTGGCCTCAAACTCCAGATTCATTTGATAGCAGCTGAGCAGAAAAGCCTGCTCACTAGGTGGTTGATGGTATCTTAGCCATGCGTTAGTTCTGAAGGTGTTCCAGTCTCCAGGTGTCTCTGTCTCCCACATTTTGCCTGCAGTGCTGTACGTGACTGGCAGAGTGTCAAAGCCTATCAGAGGAGACAAAGGCACTTTGGAGTTTCCATATCTGAAGATGACAGCAGTTCTGCCACGCTGATGGGGCCTTATTGTAAGGAGTTTTCAAGAGGCTTATTAAGTGGCGGGAACAAGCAGGGGAGCTTTGCTTTAGTTGTTATTTCTACCTGGGTCCATCTGTTGGCCTTTGCCAAGCACTTACAGTGCTTTGAGAAACCACGAATGAGTGACGGTGCCCCCGGGAGCCAAGGTGGAAGGAGGAGGCAGACACACAGCCAAGTGGCTACTCTAGGTGGAGAGGGATTCACACAGGCTCTGTGTAAGAGGGGCAGTCGCGTGGTGCTGCCTGGAAAGTGAAGAGCTTTCCTGAGGAGGAAAGTTCAAAGGTGGAGCAAAGATCCAGAGTGCCAGGTACTCCCAGTGCCCTCACTTGTTCTCCCAGGCCAGCTGCGGAGCATCCAGAGCAGGATACCTGAGCTAAATGGGGTCGGGTTCATTGTGAAGACAGACGAGAAGAGGGTAGCAGTGAAGTTTGGAGTCATGAGGTCTGGAGTCAGTAGAAGTGCCAGTGGGAAGGTGCAGTGAATTTGGTGTGCTGAAATTAAACTCCAGACAGAAGGACACTAGAGCTAAAAAGAGGCTCCCTACACAAAAGGATAGGTGGTTCCATGAGGCTGCCTTTGTCCCTGTAAGAGGAAGTTTATTATTTATTTATTTATTTATTTAGTCTTTTTAGGGAAGGCTCTACAGGGTGTTCAGGGTCTCACTATTAGATCGGACTCGTAGTGATACACCTGTTTACAGCCTCCCAAGAGTTGGGATTACAGGCGTGCTCCACCATGCCCAGTCTCAATTGCTGTCTCAGCACTCCCTGGGGGTGGGGCCCGCATGGCAGGCCCAGGGATTGAACCCCCGGCCCCTGTGCCTGCTTGCAGGCATTTTAATCCACTGAGCTATTTGGCCAGCGCTGTAAGAGGAAGTTTAAGCCAAAATGTTAAGCAGCTTTGAAATAGTATAGATAAATGGGTGGGCTATGGAGCCAACATCCATTATGTTGGAAGGCAGAATAGCTGTGTCTTGAGTTGCAAATTAAGAGGCAGAGTGCAGCTGAAACCTCAGAGCAGCCCGAGGGTGGTGGTCCCTCCCCACAGCTCCTGGCTGCTGTTCTCAGGGGCTGCTGATAGATGAGGTGATCCCAGGGCATGAACCAGCTCCTGCCCTTCTACTCAGCTGATCCTGTTCCTGCGTTCCTAAATGTGCCCTAAATCCCCAGAGACCTGACTCTGTGAACCCTGTAGGGCCTAGGTGGCTTCTCCTGCTGCTGTTCCACAATTATGACAGTGTGTGTCTTCGTTGTGTGAGAGAGACACCCCCAGGCGGGACAGTGGTGGTGTTTGGACTGCTTTCTGCAGCTCTCTGCAGGGAAGGGAGGAGGTGGCACAGAGCCAGTGTTGGTGTCTTTAGCCACTTCTGTTAAGCAGCAGATGGTTACTGCCTGCCCCGTGTGGGGGCGTTCACACACACTCTCGCACGCACATGAGCACACACACACACTGCCCTGCACCTCCACTTCTCAAGCTCTGCTTCCTGCCCTGCCAGCAAAGGATGTGCAGGCTTGAGGTGGGGGTGTCAGGGGAGTCGGGAATGAACAGGCCACTCCACCTCTCCCTTCAAAGGGCAGATGAGGGGACGGGAGCCTCTGGCAAGAGCATACACTGCTTTCGGATGAGTTGTTACATTGAGTCATTTTCCTTATCTGCAGCGTGAGGCAGTGCTATACATTCTGCCTTCTTTCTTGGTCAGTGCTAACTAAGGAACAGGTAAATGAACAGAAAACACAGTGTCAGTGTGAGATGCCATTTTGCTGTTACTATTTTATCTGGGCAGAATTGTCCAGGAAGAAGCTGGCTGGGGAGGAATGGCACATTTGTCCATTGAACAACTTTTTTATTGGGTAGAATCCCTTGGTTCTGGGGAGCATGTGTCTGAGGATGGAACTGGTTGTGGTGGTTAGCCCCAGCCCTTGGGGTGGTTGGTTCTGCCCTGTAAGAAGTATGGGGTACAGCAACAATATATGTGCGCCGTGTTTATAGCAGCACAATCTGTAATAGCTGGATCTTGGAAACAACCTAAATGGCCGTCAGCTGAGGGATGATTGAAAGATCTGGTGTTTTTATACAATGGAGTGTTACTCAGCCATAAAACAAGACAAACTGAAGGTTTTCACAGGCTAACAGGTGCAGCTAGAGACTCCTCCTGAGTGAAGCAAGCCAGAGGCGCATGTGTAAGCATCACATTGTTCCCTAGTGTAAGAAACTGAGAGTAAGATCCAAAAGGTACAGTAGGGAAGGACACTGCTCAGAAAGAAAACTAGGATGAGGGAAAGGAGGAAAGTAAGGAATATATTATACAGACACAAGATAGCTACAATGATGGTGCTACTAACTTCTATTAGTTATTGGAAGGAATAGTTAGTGTTTATATGCCTGATCAGACTTGCATGCCTATATCTGGTAATTTGAGAAACTACTTTGAGGATAATAACATGCAGTATGATAACCATTGTTAATTTCTAATCATTTTGTTTTGAAATTCTGATTAAAGTTTTTAAATTCTCTTTAACATAAAAAATGTAAAATTAAAAAGAAGTGTGGCCACAGTGGGCTTTGTGGACCTGGCTGTGAGTCCAGACTCACCCCAAGTAGCTGTGGAGCCTTTCGCACATGCTGCCTCCCTCTGGGCCTCGGTTTAACTTTCTGTGCACAGTGGAGCAGAATCTCCAAGTTGCTTTCAGCTCTAAATAGCCTGGACTGGGCGGAGCAGAGCGGTCAGTCTTGGCGTGCTAGTGCGCACGTGTGTTGGGCACCCCTGCTGGTGCTGGAGGTCGCGCTGTCTGCCTCTCCCCATTCTGGGTGTCTCCTGGCCTTCTCTCTGAGCTGCTGTCCTGTGTGCCACTCTTTCTCTCACTTTACTAAGGTTCCAGTGCCGCCTCTCAGATTGGAGCCAGGGGCCTAACTCGGATTCTCCCATTCCTTTGGCTTTGGCCCTTTTCTCCTCCATGGGGATATTTCTTTTGTTTCTTTTTTGGTTTTCCTGGCTCTTTCCTTGCTGCTGTATGCGTGCTGCTGGCACACACAAGCCTCTGCTGGTAGTTTTCTCCCTGGTCCCAAGCCCTCTTACTTAGGCTGCGAGGTGTCGGTATGGTATGGGTGGATGTCTTCCGTTCAGAGATTTGTGGCTTCTCTTCCTCTCCCCCTCTACTTCTGGCTCCAGCATCAGCAGCTGTGCCCAGTTGGGCTGGTGATGATTGTCCATCTGTTAAATGGGCTGTGTGAGAGGGCGTTGGTAGCTCCTTGTGCCCTGCGGGACTGGGCCCTGGTGAGTAGGACGTAGTCTGGGAGGTGGAGCTGGCCCAGGCCTGGCATGCTGATTCCTGAGGTGGCCTCTTTGGGGCTGGAGATGGACTGGGCATACTGGCTGCTTTCATTTCCTGGAGTTTAAGGTCATTGTCCAACCACAGTTTCTTTCTACTGTGCTCCGCTTCTCCCATCTGCTTGGTTTTCTGGAGCAGTGAAGGCTCCCTAATACAAGATGAGAGAGCTGCCAGGGCCAGTATGGCAGACTCAAGTTTTATGTTTTCTTCCAAAAATTACTTGAATTTAGCATTTGCTCCCTTATATATGTGTGTGTGGCAAACATTACTTGCCATGGGATACGTTAGAATTCTGGAAGAAGCACCGTGTTCATCTTGTGCCTTCAGATACCTCCTGTCACATGGCCATGCACCTGTGGTGACATGTCCCCACTGAGGAGCAGAACCTTAGACTCACTGGGCAGGGATGATGAACCGAGAGTGGCTTTTTTCATCCCTGCCCCTGCTCCTGACTTCAGTGCACGAGTTGGGTCTCATTATGGACCTCCTTGGGGTAGATCCCAAGGAGACCAGGCCATCTGGGAGGTCTCTCCTTTAGAGTACTTCCGTCCAGGAGTGCTATGAAGCACCAAGGTCTGCCCAAGTTCAAGGTTCAGTATGCCAGATCTGTTCTCTAGCACATTCATTTATCTCAGTCACATTCTGTCACGTTGTCCTCTCTGCTTGGCACTGAACAGTCACTTTCAGCATTTGTTGCTCATTTTTTATCCTCTATGTGGCCGAAGGAATCACAGGTCCACCTGCTGGCAATCCCATTATGGTGGGCCCACCAGATGGGGGAAAGAGATGGGCCCTTCTTTGATGATGGGGAAACAGTGCCCAGAGAGGCCGGGATAGACAGGGCACAGAATTCATGGCCAAGCAGTTTGATAAAGTATTTGCCTGCTGGTTTGCAGTGTGGCCTCCTTTCCACCCTACCAGGGGGGCACTCAGCATGGTTTGCTCTGGACTAAGAATGCTGGCTGTGGCTGAGTAAGGACCCAGTTGGAGAGCTGGGAGAGAAATAACAGGGCTTTGGGTTTGTGTGAGTGCCCATCTTTCTCTCCTGGGTTCTGGCTCCTCGTTCCTCTGTCAGGATAGAAGGCAAGGAGCTTTGCTTGGCTTTTCGTGTTCCTTGATTCCTGCCCCTGACAGATCAGAAGCACCATTCAGTGTGTGGACAGCTCCTGCGTTTTGAAAGCTCAGGAGGCTAAGGGCCCATTAGAGCCACAGTGGCTCGTGGAAGATCCACATCTAGAATCTGACATTCCAGCGGCTGTCAAGGCTTCCTCTAGGACTGGCTTGGTACTTAGGAAAGACTTACAGCCTCCTGTTCTTAGCCTCCAGCACCTTGTTCTCTTTGTTCTTGCTCTCGCCCCCACCTGTCATCCCTGCTTCTGCCTCCCAGAAGTATCAATCCCCAGTCTTTGGATGATTATTACTGCATGTGAAGATCTAATCATAGCCCATGTACTTACAGCAGCCACTCCAGGCCAGCACCCAGCTCCCCACAGCCACCTCACGTGACAGTGCCATATGTCTGTCTGGGGGTGGGGAGAGTGGGAAGGAAGTGTGCACAGGCCTCTGATCCTTCCCTCCTCGTTCTCTGTGGGGGAGGGCCAAGTAAGGTGAGGAGGAATGAGGCACAACACATCACTGGCCTTGGCATCTTGCACCCTGGAGCAGGTCAGCAAGCGGGCAGGCTGATGGCAGATTCCCAGAGGCAGGGCCTGGCCCCTGCAGGAAAGGGCTTGGATCTCCCTGACTGCTGGCAACACAGTTCCTCCCCCTGCCTGCTGCTTTTGTCTCCTTTTCCCCCTGGAGCCTCAGCCACAGCTGGGGGAGGGAGGGAGGCAGTGGATCAATTAATTGTACTTAATCTATCAACCCAGATCCTTTTAAGTCCCAGAGCTTGGGTAATTTTCTCTCCTTCTTGAACTTTTATGACTTTTATTGTCTGTGCAGTACCATTAGTACATGTTCACATGCACACTTAGACACTTGAAGAGGCACAGCTGTAGGGGGAGCAGAGCTGAGAGCCCCATCAGACACTGTCACCTGGCAGGGTTCCGCAGCCCAGCAGACAGAGCCCCGGAAGCCAGGAAGCTCAGAGACAACTTTGCCCATTTCGTTTATTTACCTGTCCTGTTAGCTTATTTACAGAGCCCCTACTATGTGTCTGCTGCCTGTGACCCTGGGGAAACAACTGTTTGGAAAACCAAGGCTGTGGATCAAATATTTCTAATGCAGGACAAAGGACAAGTGGTGAGATGTCGATATCACTGAAGAGGGAGAGACAGCAGGGAAAGGGAGACTTGGCAGGTCTAGAGTGTTGCTCCTCGGCACATTGCCCAGGCTGCAGCAGCAGGACTTTTCCATGTTGTGGGTTCTGGCAGAATGGACAGGAATTGGGACTGGAATGACCCAGGCTGTCATCTCTTTGCCTTGTAAAGGTCTCAAGCCCCTCTGTGTGGAGGTTTGGTTACCATCCTAGCCAGGCTGCCATTCCATTGGGTGATGATAGTTGGTCATGGGAACAGCGGAGCACAGCAGAATGAAGCATGGCAAGGACTGTGGATCCTCTCTCCCAAGTTAGCTCAGCAGGGGAGTCTCATTCACAGATGTTCCCAAGCAAAGCTGCCACCTGTGAGCTGGCTTCATCCCAGAGCTCTAAGGGACAAGGCAAATCCAAACCCCAGTAGCCACTGTTGGAGTGTAGTGTATGGCATTCCTGGAGGGCTCAGGGCGGGAAGGATTCCAGTGACCACATGCTGTGGGCCCCTTTCTGCAGTGAGCCAGTGCCTCCCACACTCCTTGTCACCCCTGGGTTCTCCATCCCCTGTGGGCTGTATCTCACAGCACCTTTACCACCTTAGGGAGAAACTGTCCCTAAGTCATTGCCTTTTCCTTTGGGCATTCAACAGGCATTTGCCAAGCGCCCTCTGTTGCAGCCTGTGGCCACTGATGTTACGAAACAGCTGGGATTAGTGGAAAGGAAAGGCCAGTTTAGGTGGGAACAGGATGACCCCGCACGCCCCATACCCCTCTCCATCTAGACATGCTTCTGGATTTGCATGCTGTGTCTTTACACTTGCAGCGACATCCCACAGTTTGGCTGAAGTGACTGGGCGGCCTAATGAGTCCCTCTGTACTATGGCCCTTGCACAGCTATGTGTGAGGCTGATGGCTATAGATCCAGGTGAGGTATGTAAACAGATGGGAGAGAAGGCACTTCCCACAGGTGGCTGTTGTACCTGCCAGAAAGGTTTGCCAGAGACTGCTGCTTTCTTGTCCTTGGTGTCTGGTTCACTCAGATCTGGGGACTGGCCCTGAGGTCACATGCAGTGCCCTGTGCATGCAAAGTGACTGGTAGCCCTTGGTGGCTGCTAGCTGCTTATAGGTACACAGTGGAGGGGGAGAGCAGAGAAGGCCTCTGAAGGTAAAATCCCAAGAGGTTCAGGAGAGAAGGAAGAGTAGTACAGGACAGTGGGTTCACACAGTGCTTCCCACACTTGAGGGGGTGGCAGAATCACCCAGAAGCCTTGTAAAAGCAAAGGTACTCAGGTACCCTGATTTAGAGGGTCTGGGAAGGGGCTGAGCTTTCGCATTCCCCACAGGTCCCTTGGGCCATTGGTCTCAGGGGGAGGATGCCAGGATTAGGTGTGGGGAAGCATGCACTCCTCGTGAGTGGTGAGCGGCACCTGACAGACTTTCCAGTCAGAAGAATGGCAGGCGAGGGTCTCAGATGCCAAGGAGGGGCTCCTTTCAGGGAATCAAGCCCCTTCCTCCTCCTGGCTTGGCCAGCACCCTGTCGTATCTCGTCACTCCTTCAGCATGGTAGAACATTTCCTTTTTCCCCCAGTCAAATGGCCTATGGCAAATGGTACTGCAACACAAATGGCAATCTTAGTTGGGTCCCACCTTCATGGATTCTAAAGTAATGGTGCAGGAGGGCAAGGACCTTTTACACTTCCCCCAGTGAGTCTGATGAACAGCCAGATTGGGTTTCTTTTGTTTTTCTTCTATCTTTTATTTTTGAGATGGTGCCTCACTCTGTTGCTCAGGCTGGTCTCAAACTTGTGAATTTAAGCAGTCCCCCTTGCCTCACCCTCCTGAGTAGGACCACAGGCTTGTGCCACACAGGTTGGAGTTTATTTTCTCTCCACCCCCTCAGATTCTGGGCATTTCTGCTGTGTGGACACACCAGTGTGGCCTCCCATGAGTGATGGTGCATCCTCTCCTGTCTGCTTGTCCTGTCTGGGCCAGCCCTCCTCCTTCCCCCAGGTCCTTAAGGACCCACTGTTGTGAGGTCCTCATCTCATCTGCTACTGCAGATTTTGGATCACTGGGCTTATGTCATAGACCACCAGCAGATGCTGTCAACACCTATGAGAGGACTTCAGCTAACAAGTGGTTCCTGCCATTTGTGTCTTTCAGTGACGCAGAGAGTAGAAAATTGTGCAAGAAGATGAAAGTTGACCTTAGCCCAAAGGACAAAAAGGTGGAATTATTCCATTACCAGTAAGTACATGTGGGCATTTCCAATTTCCACGTAAGTGCTGAGGGCTTTCACTGATATTCTCAGGAACAGCAGTTTTTAAGTTAGATTAATTGTATTGAAGAATGATTTTTCTGTTTTTAATTCTTTCTTTAAGTCCTGAACTGTGTTCAATAGCCGAGTCCTATTAAGATACTTCAGAAACTGAAGGGATATATCTTTACAGCCATTCTGAAAGTTAACACCTTTTTCTTGTTGTTTGGCAGGGATGGTGCATTTCACACTGAGTATAACCGCGCTCTGACACTGAAGGTAAACACCCCACCCCACCCCACACCCATGGTTCTCAGCAAAGATAATCTGGATGGATGCCCAAAGACTGGCCAGGTCTCTCTGAGAAGGAAGAGGAAGGGCAGAAGAACAGCCCCTTACTCTGCTAGGGAAAGTTTGTAACCTAACACAAGGGAACGACCAGCCTCGTGGATAAGTTGGTAAAGATACAGTTGTCTGATAAGGCAGGTGACATTACAGTAACCTCTCCATGGGTTTAGGTCTGCTTCAAAGACATTTTCTCATCTCTGTGCTGGTAGCCACAGTTGGCCACCCATATGCCCAAGTGAACATATCTTGCTTAGATTAACATGAGATATGGGACATGGGCAGGTTGGCACTTTTGGGATGATATAGCTTGTTCCACATGAGATGTGGCTGTCCTTGAGAAGTTAGTGAAAAAGCATAAAGGAAAACGCATGAGGTCCAGTAAGCCACAGGTGCTGCCTGGTTAGCATAGGAGAATGGCCCAGCCCTCAGCCTTTCTGCTACCGGTCAGCGCTCTTTCAACACTGGGGTCCTCTTCAAACCTGTCTGCTACTTCTAGGCCAGCACCAGGTAGAAAGTAGGATTGTATATTTCTTCTGGTCCCAACCTGGGCTGAACTCAGTTTCTTTGATTCCTCTGCATCTCAGACTGGGTTGCACCCTGTACTCTTTTCTTTCTTTCTTTTTCTTTTTCTTTTCTTTTCTTTTCTTTTCTTTTCTTTTCTTTTCTTTTCTTTTTTTTTTTTTTATTCCAGGGATCTAACTCTGAGGCCTTACACTTGCCAAGCAGGCATGTACGTCACTGAGCTATATCCCCGGCTGCACCCTGTATACTTGACCCTTCATCTTGTTCTCATTCTCTGACTGTATGTCCTTCCATTCTTTCCTGTCTGTCTATCTATATAGCTGTCATGCTCTCTGCCTCTGTCTGCCTCTCTGCCTATCTCTCCCCCTCAGCTCCCTTTGCCATTGCTTATTTATTAAGAACTCTTCTTTCTTAAATTGCTAAAGCTTTCACCTTATATAGTTATTCAGCCCAGTTACTCACTATCTTAACACCAACTTACTCACTTGAAGAATTCCTCCAACTTGAGCTGTTTGACTATTTGTATTCTGTGTCTGGACATGAGCTCATGTCCTCAGTGAAAACATATGTTTCTCATAAGAAGAGTTAGCTGGGTGGGATCAGGAATTGTTTATGCATTGATAAAAAGGGGGTGGTTTTGTTTTTGTGTTTAGCCAGTACCTCTGAGCATTGGAATAGGGAATAGAAGCCACTCAGAACTAGGGAGGTAGAGAGGAGTTCCTGGCCCCAACTTGCAGCTGAGTAGTGGGGCAGGCAGTGTCCTGATTTGTGTCTCACTCTGTAGTCACCCTTGCTCATCAGCCAGCTGGTTGGGCTCGTTCACCTTCAGTTAGATGAGAGTGAGCCTGTGTGTAAAGCAGAGAGTTATGAACGTGGCTATTCAAGTTTAACCTTAAATTCAACCATTTCTCCCATCTCCATCCCACTGTCTTTGTTCCCTAAAGTGGAGGGCCTTGTGGGATAGGGAACAGGGAAGCTTATTTAACCCTAAGCTCAGCTCCTGCTATAGTCAGGAGCCCCCAAAGCAGTATCTCCCTGACCTATTGAGGGTTCAGGATCCCACTGGCAGTCTACTGGACACTGCTCTGCTCTGCTGAGTAGTGTGTGTGTGGACAGCAGTGCATGTGGGGTTTCCCATACTCTGGAGGTCTCTAGATTGCCCATCAGGTATTTCTGGAACACAAGCCCAAGGGTGCTCAGGAGCACCCTTCTCTGCCAGGTGTGCCGGTACTATGCAGCGGTGGGTAGTGTTGGCTTCAGGAAGGAGGGGGTCATTTCTCTCTATTCTTGTGTTATCCCAGTGAAGCATTGACACAGGACTCAGAACAGGCAAATCTGCCTTTTTCTGGGGCAGAAGCAGTTGCGTGTCCCTTCCCTTCATAATTCCATTTGGCAGACAAGAAGGGCTACTGAATGAATCTTATAAAGACATGACTGTGTCCCATTCCTCCATACTAGTTGTTTCCAAAGAAGGTTCCAAAAATGATAAGTCATAGCTGAAGAGCTCTCTGGGTGGCCCACGGATGGATTGAATGCTGAATTACACTAGAAGGGCACTTTCATTTCTCATCTCAGTCCTTTCTCCCTCTAGAAACACTCACACATGCACACACAGGGGCATATATGGACCCGTCCAGCTGAACCTTTGCCTACTGGAGCTTAACCAAAGCCAATAGAGGTAACAGAAGGTTGCTTCATCCAGCTCCATGTGTTGACAGAGGCCAAGCAGGAGGGCAGGAGGGATGGAGGTGTAACTGGTTTTCTTTGGGGATCATTTCCCGGAAAGACTGTCTGAGGGGACAGAGAAATCCACTTCTGTCCACACCAGTAGAGCCTGCAGGTGGATGAGGGAGGGGCATGGATATACATGCCCCTCTCTCCTGCCCCCTGGCAGTCTTCCCCAAAGGGAGTGGAGATTTTAGTCAGAGTTCTACATAACAGAAGCCAGCCAAGCCATGCTAAACCCCAATCCTTGTCAGTCAGGACCCCACTGACTCCCAGCAGAAGATAATCAGGGTCAAATCACATCAAGCCCAGTTTCTATCATGAAATACCATGAAGCTGTGATTATCTGCTTATGGGATTGGCAGTTTTAGTGGCTCAGGGATACTAAAATACTCTTAAGAATGGGGACCTTTGATTAGTTGACCAGAAAGGCTTCTGGGTGGTGATAAGATTAACAGAAGTACTAGTGTGTCTCTGAATTGAAAAAGCCAACTTCATGGTCTCAGGCTTACCCCTTTTTGACTGTGAAGACATGTACCCTACCCATAGTAGAGATGGATCAGCCAACCCCCAGAAGGGACACCTGCTGGGAGTTGCAGAGGTGCATTTCTAGTCACTTGGCGGTGGTGTTGTGGACTGTGGAAATCGCTGCCCTTCAAGCACATGCCACATTTCAGTCAGGTGCTGCCACTTGGCATACCTGGGTGCCAAGACAGGAGGAGGACAGTTTCCTGACTTCCCACTTCTTTCTTTGCCTGACTAAAATGCATGTTGTTGTTTTTTTTCTCTCTTTTTCTTCTCAGTCCATAGTAGCCTTTCTGAAGGATCCAAAAGGGCCCCCACTCTGGGAAGAAGATCCTGGAGCCAAAGATGTTGTCCACATTGACAATGAAAAGGTAATTTTTTCCCTATCGGTTTGGATGAGAGCTGGAACCTTCTCTGGTGCCCCAGCCTCCCAAAGAGAGGAGCTCAAGGATTCCAGGATCACTTGGCTTTCCTCCAGGGAGACCAGGCCAGGACCCTAATATTTGATTCCCCTTCCCAGCTCCATAACGGAGCCAGTATGCGATCAGAGGTGGCTGCTTAGGAACCTCTCCACCCCCACTGCCTTCTTTAATGTGCATGAGATGTTTAGGTTTTGCTTGTAAGAGTACAGATTTAAATATACTCTCCTCACTGTCTAATCTAGATGTTGGTAGGATTTTTCAGTTTTTGAGTCACTGTGTATCTTACACATGTTACTTACCCATTTAAGGCTTAATTTTCAGAGTGGTCCAGGTGTGGGAGAACAGGTAAAAGGGTGATTCTGGTTTAAAGTCTTCCTTAGTTCTCTGAGGATTAAGCAAAGCCACAATGCACCTGCCCCTGCTTGCCCTGTTTGCCCCTGGCCTGTATGTGTCCCTCTGCCCTACCTAGGTGGAATCATGTCTTTCTTGCTTACTTGTGTCTTCACATAGGCACGGGCAAGGTCCCCCTGTACATTGAGCATGGCCTGTGAGGCAAACGGTGATTTTCTTTTTTTTAATAGAGGGCAAGAAAATGCTTGCTTTCACCTTGCTGAAATGAAATGTAACTTTTATCTTCTCTGCTGCTCCTTCCCTTTTATTAAAGATATTGGCTCTGCTTCCCGCGCAGTGCTGAGGATAGAACAGAGGGCCTATTCTTGCTGGATACTCTGCCACTGAGCTGCATCCCTAGCCTTGACTCTGCTCTCAGTTCTTTATAGATCACAAGGAAATGATGCCTTTTTAACTTTGCAGAGGAGCGATTGGTGTGATCATTGTGGGTAGCCCAGAGGGGTTGGTCTTTGATGGTTCAATTTCAGGCTCTGGGCATCCATCCACCTCTCTGGGATAGTCAGTGCCAGTATTGTCAGCTAGAAGGTAAAGTTTCCTAAAAGTAGGTGGGCGCAAGGTAAGAGTGACAAGTCTCAGGAGAGAGTGGGCACCCAAAGCTATGAGGCACGAAGAACCCAAACTGATTATTGCTCCTGTCATGAGGAATGTGTGTAGCCTCTCTGTAAAGTAATTGCCTGGCACCTCCCCACTGCAAATGTCACGTCTTGAACTTCCTAAGATTGTTCTCCCGTAGCTGGAGGAATAGTAAGCAGAGTTTTCTTTATTGCTGTCCTCTTGTTATTATTTGTGTTCTTTTCCCTCATGTAGAAATACAAAGTAAGTTGCTTCCCTGCCACTAGAATACCCCATCGAATTACTGAAAGCTGCAAATTTAAGTTTCAATTATTAATTAATTTTTAGGGTTATTTTGTGAAGGTAAGTAAGCATGTAACAGTCGTTACTACTGAAAACCAATGAAACCAAGTGGCTACAGGTCCAGTAACACCTTTCCTTCTCAGATCTTTCACTAGGTTTTATCTCTTGAGATCTCAGGAGATGAGTTTTAGAGGTTTTGTATCCTTCATCCCAACGTAGGGCCTGTGTTCAAGAGTTTTCATCACTGTGATGGAGAAATCAACCTAAAGGCGGAAATAGTTACTTTGGCTCATTGTTCCAGAGGTTTCCGCTTGCGTCCACTGGGCCTCGTTGCTTCTGCACTTGGGACGAGGTGGAACTGTCATGGCAGGGAGTGAGCCTGCCTTGGCAGAGCAGAACTGTTCACAGCAACCAGGAAGCAGAGAGGGCCAGAGGCCGGAGGCCAGACACAGCCCCCGCCCACAGGCATGCTCCTGTGGTCTGTGCCCTGCAGCAGGCCCTACCTCTATTTTCACTCAGCTAAAAGATGTAGCTCAGTGATAGAGCTCTTGCCTGAACACTCCAGGCCTTGGCTCTGCCCTCACCATCAGCTACTTCTCTGGAGCCCATCAGCTGACAGCCAAGCCTTCACCATAGTGAACCTTTTGGGGGGACATTTTAGGTAATAGCGCAATAGGGTCAAATATCTGTGAAAGTTGTCAAAATCAATGCTAAGCCCTCAACAAAAAATAAAATAAAATAGCCGTGAGGTTATAAAGGAAGGATCTCACGTGTGTAGTCCAGATAATAAGAACTACCACAGGGACTCCACCAAATTACACCTCCGTGCAAGGACTACTTCTGCAAAGACATCTATCCAGTAACTGTTCAACCTTCGACTGACAGCACCTGGGTATTGCTCCGGGCACCTTTATTGTACAAGGATTATTATTACCATCTTAGTCACTCTGAGTGAGACACAACACCCAATACCCAAAAAAACTACAAGCAAGGAAGTTTATTTTGGCTCAGTTGGAGAGGGTTTAGTTCATAATCAGGTTTAGTCAACCTAGGCAGGGTGGCATGGCAGAGGAGCAACAGCTCATGGCATGGCAGCTGGAAGCAGATTAAGATCAAAGGAAGAAGAAGAGCCGTAGAGCCTTCTGGCCCACACTGCCCATGACCTCTTGACCAGGCTTCACCTCCCAGCATCACATTTAGCTATAAGGTCATCAGTTGATAAATCCGGTGCTGAGTGTCACTCCGCCCCAGTGCATTCTCCTCCTCAAGCCCACCAATGAGTGTGTGAGGCATTGGGTGGACATCTAGGTAGAAAATGTAGCATTTACACAATCCTTCTCATTTTACCTTTTGAAGTTTTCCTTTCCCCTCTCTTTAAACAAACCCCGGTTTTCATGGTTTGCATATTCAGCATTGCAATATGCTCTGCTTTGAAAATGAGTACTAAAGCCTCTAGTTTTTAAATTAGAGTGAACTTTTTCAGGATTTATTACAGAATGTTTTAGATAACCAGTGAAAAAAATTATAATTTCTACCTAACTGAAAAAGAAATTAAGGAATACATATTCCCTGTTGGAAATTTAGAACATGTAACTTATTCATAAAAGAAAAAAATGAATTACCCTATACCTCTCCATTGAGAGGTGCCCACTGATACTTTGTGGTCTTCCAGGCTTTTAATGCATACATGAATATTTTTACTCACATAAGTATCACTACGTTTATGTGCTGGCTTGTGGCCCCCCACCCCCTGCTTGCGGGTGGGTGCTTGTGCAGCTGAGCTGTATCCCTAGCCCCCTCTTCAGCATTTTTAATGCTCAATAGTATTCCGTGGTGTGGAAGGTGCCATCATTGATTTATCTAACGCCACATTGCTACCAGATAGCTGCATTTTGACATTTTCTCTTATTTTCCTTACTATTCAAAAGAGAAACACTCTTATTTTTACCTGTGGAAGCTTCTCTGCAGTTTGGGAAGGACTTGCTTTTGCTTTTCCTTCACTGGCGCTCGGTGGAAGAAAAGTCTCTGCTCTGCTTACACTTAAGTCTTCACATTCCTGTTGTCACGGCCATTTGTCTTTTTCCATTTTGCATATTTATTTAAGCAACCGTTCTATACTGCCTAACAGTGTGCCAGCCTCTGATCTAAAGGTTTTACAAACACAGACAATCTCTTTGGCTTGTGACCTCCCTGAGAGTGGACAGACCCCATCCTGTGCCCTGTGGGTACAGCACACCTGGGGATGGGACGGTGGTGTTAGGGCTAAGCCTGAGGACTAAGCTCTATGCCACAGCAGGCAGATTCCCCAGCTGGCCATGCTGGCAGGCACTGAAACAGCTCCCTCCCCCACAGCAAAACCCTTCCTGAATTCCTCGAAGCAATTGTCTTTTCAACAGCCTTACAGAACAAAAATAGCTCCTTGCCATCTTTTATTGTTCAGCTGGAGCTGAAAGTAAAGCCAGTGGCATAGTCCTGGGTACTTCATCACGTCAGGTGACCTCAGGAACACCATTTATTCTCCTCCCCCTTTCCTGAGGGCCTCAGTTTCCCCTTGTGTGATATTTGAGGGTTGCTAGAATAGATCAGCTCTAAGGTTCTTTCTGCTCTCATCCTGTGTCCAGGGTGTTTCTGAGGTGCTCACTCCGTGGCTCCCTGATGCTGGACACCGGAGCAGAAAGAGGGCATGTCCCATTACTGCTGTGTGTGACTTGCTGCTGTCTCTCTTTTATGCCTCAGGACTTCAGACGGCTCCTGAAGAAGGAAGAAAAGCCACTCCTCATGATGTTTTACGCCCCCTGTGAGTGAATGTTCTTTAGCCAACATCCGTGGGAAGTGGGTGACCAAGGTTGCAAGGGGACGAATGGGGACTAGTCCTGGCTCATTCTCATTGCTCTTTCTGCACCTCTTGGCCCTCTTCTTGGTCCTCCCATCTGGCTCCTCCTTCTGGTTTCCTCAGCTCTCTCCAGCCTTCTGCTGTCTTCACCCTGAGCACCAAGAGACAGTACAGGACTCCTGCCCAGCTAGCTCTGCCTTCCCATACCCTTGCTTCCTGTGAGTCCATTGACCTGCATGCTCCTTCCTGACCCAAAACCATACCTGGGTTTTGTGTGCACCTCTGGGGTGCTGCTGCCCCTCGCCCCCCCCCCCCCCGGAGCATCCTGAAGCTCAGAACACAGGCCGGGCCTACCTTTGAGGTGGTCCCTCCAGCAGTGGCTCCTGGGGCAGGGTCAGAGAGAGCTGGGACCCTGAGCTTTGGGCTTCATCTTAGTGTGAGGCCAGAGGCTGGGGAGAATGGTGGAAGGGCTTTTGAGGTGACAACCAGAAGTCCTGGCTTCTGGTTCCAGCTGCAGACCCTGGAGCTAGGTGAGCTTAGATGGAACTCGGTTTGTTGGGATTCCATCCCCACACTGTAAGAGAAGATTTAGCTCAGAGCAGTGGCTTCCAAAGGTTTTTCCAAACTTTTCAAAAAATTTTTTCAGAGAATTAAAAACATTTTATATTGTAGCCCAGTATTATAATTATACATGTAAATAAGCTGAAACAAAACCATAGTCACTGCTTGCCATTTACTCTGGCAGATGTCATGCACACTGTTCTTCTTTCTGCTCTCTTATTGAAGAATAAGGCCTATGGCTTCATAAGCTGTAAGTAAGGGTCAGCAAATTGTGGCCCATGGCTGGCCACTGTGTTTTGTAAATTGAGTTTTATTGGAGTGCACCATGCCCATATAGGGACACACTGTCTTGGTTGTTTTTGAGCTGTGACAGCAGAGGAGCTGTGAGAGAGTCTCAGGTATGCACTGTGAAGTGCCCTGCAGGCTCTTGGGTCCCAACCTGGAAGGGGAGAACCTGGTAAGGCCCTTGGAGCTGGGACTCTGGGATCTGCACATGCCTCTTGGGAAGCCACAGGAGTCCCTGCCGGCCTGAAGGCTGGATGGGAAGTGGGCTGTGTGTGGTGGGAGGTCAGTATGTCCAGGTATATGTCACAGGCTATGTGTGGCACCAGGTTCCTGTTGACTTGAATGCTTTTCTCAATTCCTTCTGCCTGAGAAACGCTTTAAGCTGAGGACCCTCCCTCTTCATGCCAGGCCTGGCAGTGAGGCCCCTGGCTCCTACTCCTGGGGAGTTGTGGGGGTTCTGCCTGCCTGAGGGCTGCAGCTTGATTGCTGTAACCACGGGCTGGCTCCCAGGAGCCCTTGAAGGTCCTTCCTGTGGCAGAGGCACTGTGCCTTGTTTCCTGCAGATCTCACTCTGCCTGGCACAGTCTGCACTCTCACCCTGACTCATTTTCCTCATCGCTGTGTTAGGTCCTTTCACCTTTTTTCCTTTCTGCTGGAGGCTTGTGAACCCTCTAGCCACAGCTCCTGGAATGGGGCCTCCTTTGGTTTCTCTAAAACTCTCGGGACTCAACCTGCTTGGAAAAGTAGCACTGTGACATGCGTGTGTCATAGGCAGGGTGTGTCACAAGGCAGAGTGGTGGCACAGCTGTGCAGGTCTCCAAGTAATGACTTTAATTATTTTAAAAGAGCAGTTCGCTAGCAGTTTGCACCTGATGTTTGTCCCTGTGTCCCCGCCCTCCCGGCTGCCTGCAGCACAAGCCTTCCTATCCATTGCTGTGGAGATGCAAGCATAGTGATTATCTTTATATAATAGGAAGCTGGGACTGGGGAAGTTAAGAACCTGGTGGCTGTCACAGAGCACGTTAGTGGCGGGTGAGGGAAGAGAACACCATGTTGCTAAGTTAAGCTTTCAGTGGGGATCACACTGGATAGCCTCCAAGATCCCAGGGACCCCTGGACTCCTCTTGTTACGTGTGTATAATGAAACACACTTGGGCTTTTATTATACTAGTCCAGTTCAGCCTTTGCAACCTCATAATTCCGCTTTCTCCTGGGATACACAGCAATCCCCTACCTGGGAAGTTTGCTGGGATTGTGATTCTCTGATTCCGTGTGGAGTGAATGAACCCAGAGGCAGTGGGAGTCTTTTGTGGCCATGAGGAACCTGGTGTGGTGACAAGGAATAAGCCCACTTGCTTATTCAGTAAATGTTTGTTCACGGAATTAATGAGAAAATGAAAAGAATGAATGCTCTGACTCGTGGGCTTTGAGAGTGATAATTAGTCTTACCTTTTCCCCTGCCTCCCAGTTGAATCTGCTGAAGATACACTGAGATAAGAATCACAATGCCAGCTCTATTTTTGGGAAAGTCAAACTGGAAACTGGCTTGGCCCCTAGTTTTCTGTTAGTCCTTATCACTTCTTCCCCCCAGTCACTTCTTCCCCCAGAGCTGCTGGCCTCCCCTCCTGGGAACAGCTAGCTGGCTGGCTTGTCACCTGTGTGGGGATGAGGGGAGGGCGATGCTGATGAGGGTGCAGATGGGCGGAGCAGGAAGAGGCCACACTGGAGAGGGCCAGCGGCAAGCAGCTAAGCTCCTGGTGTTTGCTTTGACCCTGAGTATCACATTGAAGTCGCTGACTAAATGGGAAGTGTGACGCGTGCACCCTCAGTACCCCCAGGAAGTGGAGTGGCCTCCTGTACCCCCGTTTCACATTCCTCACCCCAGAGTTGGGGAGTGATTCGAAGGTCTTGTTTCTCCCAGGCAGAGTGTGCACCTGCTAAGGGCCAGACCTGTGTGACACCATCAGGACAGGTACAGTTGTCTCCATTTCATAGACAGGGACATTGCAGCTCAGACAGTCCAGGTCACTTGCCAGAGTCCACAACCAGCAAGGGTCAAGGGGAGATGAGAGCTTCTCAGGGCTCTTACTACCACAGGCGTTGTCTTAGTTACTCTTCTCTTGTTGCTGGGACAAATACCCGACACTCAAAATGAAGGAAGGAAAGGTTTATTTAGCTCACAGTTACTGGAGGTTTTAGTCCATACTCAGCTGGGTCCAACGCAGAGCAGCACAGAGCAAAAAGCAACCTTTCATGGTGGCAGCAAAGAGCAAGAGCGCAAGGGAGGGGCAGCAGCAGCTCAAGCAGCTAGCTTCTCTTCCCACTTACATTGTACTGCAGATTACCTGCCCCAGGGCATGTGCAGCATCCACACCCACAGTGATCAATCACAAACTCCAGAAGCTGCCCCAAGACTGCATGAGACTTTGGGGGGACACCTATACACAAACCATAACAGGCGTCCACCTGAGTGTGGCCATTGTGCTTGTCCGAATTTCCATTCTCCTTGTGAACAGTGGTGACCCCACAGGCAGCATATTCCTTCCATTGTGCCACAGGTGTCCCCGTCTTGGCAGCAGGCTCCCAAAGTGGGTGCTGTGGCTCCCACTGCCCCTACTTTACAGCAGCTCCTGCCCTCCCACTTCTCCCCAAGCGGAAGCCTAAGGACGGGAACCGGAGCCCAGGCTCTAGTATGGGCATGTGTGCATGTGTACGCACGTGCACACATATGCGCATGCATTCATGCATATGTGTACACCTGAGTGTCAAGCAGAAATGTGGGGGGGGGGGCCTATGGGCATGGTTTATCAAAATCTCCCGCCTCAGCATCTTGCCCGTTACCTTGGTGCTGGGGACTGGGTCCTGGTGGCCCAGGAGGACTCTCCATCTCCTCCCACTTCTCAGTGTCTCTCTGCTTTCCCAATTCAGATCAGACCCAGCCTGACACGTCTCAGGCAGCTTTGGTTTCTGTGGCTTTCAGTGTCATCTCAAAACCTGTTTTGCAGCACAGCAGCTGTCAAAAAGGGTGACAGCCCAGCATGTCACAATTCCTGGCAGCTGAGGACACTGTTTCTCCTGTCCAGTGTGCTCTACAGAAACACATCCTGCTCTCATTGGATTTTAATTATGGGGTGGTTTGAAAGCAAGGTCCCTGTGGATGTTTGGGGCCTGGCCAGCCTGGCCCTGTGCTCTCCAGGGCTAGCGAGGGAGGAGTGTAGCCAAGTGGATACCCCAGTGAGGACTGAGCCAAAGCCACAACAGGATGCTCTGAAGTCAGGGCTGCAGGAGCCTGGGGCAGTCCAGTCCACCTCCCCTGCCAGAGGAAGCCAGAGCCCACAGAGGAGGCTGTTGGTGAGGCTCTGAAAGGTCAGCGGCCATGCCCCGAGCCCTGGCCCTGTGCTCCTCCCATTGGTCAGAGCCAGCAACATTTATGCCTGGCCTGCCTCTGCTCATTGCTTAGTTGTCCTTGTTAATACAAGAGAAAAGAGGCGTGAACATTTCAAGTGGATGTTTGTGGTCACCAGCCTTGCTTTCTAGTGGTGTTCGACTTGGTTCCAGTGTAGCCCCTGACTGCGGGGCGCAGAGCGGCCGCTAGCTGTACACACAGGATGCTGTTCTCTGACGCTGTGCTGGCCCCTGCATTCCTGTAGAGCTCAGCAGCAGCACTGAGTTATTCTTGGCTCTGCTCTTGCTGTTTGTGTCACCTTTGCTTATTCGATCTAACATTTAGAGAGGGACTGCTGGGCTCTGCCCTGTTTTATGCCATTAGGACCATGAGCTCTTTGAGGGTTTGGGCCTCTGCCTCCTGTTCCTTTCATGTTTCCAGAGTCTGGGACCATCCTGTGGAGGATGTCCAGGGTCGGGGATTGGGGGCAGAGCACCAGGGTCCTGCTGTCTCTGTAACTGCGTTTGTTTTCTCCTTCCTGTGACAGGGTGCGGCATGTGCAAGAGGATCATGCCACATTTCCAGAAGGCAGCAACCCAGCTGCGAGGCCGCTTTGTAAGTGAGGCGCCACAGCCCAGCAGGGCTGGTGGTAGCTCCTGGACTCCACACAGAGGTCCCTAGGGGTGGAGGGGGGTGGGCAGGCTCTACAGTGCTGAGGAGACTGTCCCTGCTGCCTGGTGGCTTTGGAGACAAAGTTTTCTGTGTGACTTGCAGACCAGCTCTCTGTGAAGTCAAGAACTAATGCCATAGATTTTTCTGAGACCAGGAGAGCCTGGTACCTGCTGAGGCCAATGATGAAGTAGTCAGAAAGCCAGTAAGCCACACTCACAGTGTGGCCCAGAGGGGAGCGGCAGGTGTCTGTAGTTACTGGGGTGGGGATCCAAAATGGACTGAAGCGGTCACCAGAGTGCTCAGTGGCAAAGAAATGGATCAGTGACACGGAGGGTGAACCACGAGTGCTGAGTGAGCTCCCAGAAGCCATGCCCCGTGCCGTCTCCAGGAAAGATGGTGGAAAGCAGAGCAGAGAGAAGCAAGGCCAGCCAGGAGGCAAGATAGCTAGTTGCAGACAGTCCCTAAGGGAGTGAGGGAGAGAAGGGCAGGCGGGGAGACACAGGTGCATCCTAGATAGCAGGAGGAGGAAGAGGAGCTGACAAGGAAGCAGGCCTTCTCAGAGTCAGCGCAACCAGGATGGTGCGGAGAGAGGTGGCCAGGGTCCTTCAGGAGAGAGAAGGGAGACAGGAGAGGCACTTAGGCCTCACTTAAGGGACTTGATCCCCCTGAGGGCTCCCTGCCATCCTGCGTTGCCCCCATCCTGCAAGGGTGTTACTTGACCACTGTTTTATGGCAAGAACTGTACTACAACACTATCTTAGACATACATGTATGTATAATTCAGTAGTGTCAAACATGTTTATATTGTTGTGAAACGGATTTTTAGAACTTTTTGTCTTGCAAAACAAAGATTCTAAACTCATTAAACAAGAATTCCCGGGGGGCCTGGCTCTAGCTCAGTCCTTTAAGTGGCTGCTTCCGCAAAGCTGTCAGCCTCAGGTTGCTGGAGTTCGAACCTCACAACTCTCCCGCTGGCCTAAAGTGCCCTGAAGGCATTCGAGAAACAAAAAAAGAAAAAAAAAAGAATTCCCTTTCACTTCCCATGCCTAGCCTTAATAAACACCTTCCTACCACTGTTTCTATAATTTTGACTATTCTAGATCCGTAATATGAATGGAATCATATAATATTTGACTTTTTATGGCTAGCTTATTTTGCTTAACATAATAGCCTCAATGTTAAGACATCTTGTAGTATGCAGCATAATGAATGTTCCTTTTTCAAAGCTGAGTAATACTCTACTATATACAGTAAACATACCACCTTTTTTTTATCCATCCGTCAGTGACCATTTTTGGTTGCTTCCAAGTCTTGACTGTTGTCAGTAATGCTATGAACATGGCTGTGCAAATGGCTTTTTTTTTTTTTTTTTAAGATCCTGTTTTGAGTTCTTGTGGATGTGTGTTTATTGATTACAGCACTCATCCTGAGTAGCACACGTATTCTGTTTTATTATATTTTGGTGAATCCTCTTGGGAATGTGGAAATATCTGTATGCCATTCGTGAGAGGTTATCAGAGGGGCTGTCACTGGGCCCAGCCCAAGTCCCGTTAAGGGAGAGCCAGGCTTGAAACTGCGTCATGATCTGTATGGATCGCACTAAGTGGTGATTAACTCTGAGTCAGCCTAGGAAGCCCAAGCGGCAGCACCTGCACTTACAGATGGCCCCATTCACCAGCTACAGGTTGGCTCGAGAAGAACTGATGCTTTCTCTCCTGACCTCATTCCGGGGCGACATCGAGGTCCTGCTTGGTTCTCACTAATGAATTCTTAGTCACTTGCCTGGAGACATGTGGCCTTGGGGCACACACTCATCAGTCTGGGGACATTTCACTGCACATTTTTTGGGGGCCTCAGTAGACACCATATTTTAAGATTATTTAGCCTGAAGAAAAGACTTAATTACCCACCCTGTTCTCCCTGCCTGTACCCGTGTATGTGCTTCACAAAACTGCTCGTATCTACTTGTGTACTCCATGGGGCTGCTAAATAAACAGCTATGGCCCCAAGTCAGATTGCAGACTGTCCTGGCCCGCTGTGCCAGCACTGGAGGACTGGATGCCCTGCACGTGTGTGCACCTCATGGACTGCTACCTGCCGGTGCTGCCTGTGTGGCCTGGCTCAGTCCTCCCGCCCTCCAGGCTGCCTCCCGTGTTGCCACAGAACTTGACTCTGCCCTGCACAACTTCTTGGGTCCATGCATATTTGCTTCTGATCCTCACCACTTTTTGCACTGTTTGATGCTAATTATGCTATGTGAAGTTCGAGGGCGCAGGAGCTGTGTTCAAGGTATGTCTGTTTCTTCAGGGCACGAAGCCAGGCTCAGTAGGTGCCCAGTGCCTGCCATGTGTTGTATTACTCCCAGATGTGTTTTATTTTAAGCTCTATATTTATGTGACATTTCCCACTTTTAGTGGAATCTAGAGCATTAGTTCTAACAGACAGAGATGCTGTCAGAAGAGCGTGTGCGGCACAGGACCGTCCCTTGACACGGGGCTCACATTAGGCTCTCACAAGCTTAGTCTTGTAAAGCACACACTTACCTGAGCCCTGGTCTAGAGGTGTAGAAGATGCCCCTTCCTGTCCCGTGACAATGTTACACGACTCAGGAGGCCTGCCTATGAATCTAGGCAAGCCTAGTGGTGCCAGGGTATTAGTTACCTCTGTGGGAGGTGTCCATGTTGTATAAACTCATGTTTCCTTGGCTGTGCATTTTCATATTTAGGGTTTGTTTTGTCTCAATTTGCTGCTTGGTTTTCAAGTGTGAAGGGCCCCAGCCAGCACAGGTACCACCTGTGGAAGGTTCTGAAGGCCACTGCTCATGGTACACAGCAGCTGTCCACACACCAGAGCCAGGACTAGAGGGGCTGGGTGACCAGAGGTGTTGATTGCTTTCTGTCTGCACACACAGAACATGAGGGGGCTAATAGATGGGCCAGTACTCTCCAAGAATCCAAACCTCACTCCTCCTTGCTGCTGACATCCAGCCGGCTTATAGCCTCCCATCTCCTCTTACTCATCTCTGAGTGTGAGTCTTATTTGGCTGGCAGGAGTTGGTCAGAACTCTTCCTTCTCTTCGGATTCTTGGGAAGTTTCCAATCTGTGTGTAGTGTCACTGAGAAGAAAGCCAGGGCAGGTTGGGATGAGTGGCCTTTGCCATTTTCCAAACTCAGACCTGCCCTGTTTTGGCTGTCATTGAGGTCTGGTGAGTCATCGGCGTCTGCCTTCCCTCCTGCTTGCTAATTGATATCCTCAGCAGCAGCCAAGCTGCTCCCTATGTCAGCAGCTGGCAGGACTAGCCCCATCACCATCTGCCTGCTCTTCCCAACCTTGCCAGTTACCATGTCCACATTGTGCCTCTAAGCTGGCCTGGTCACTTGTTAACCTGGGCCATGATTTGCCAGCCTGGGTATAAACACAAGCAGAGCAGTTGTGGTGACAGATTTGTACAGATCAGGCTCTGGGGCTGGCTCCTGCTAACTGACTCAGAAATCGTAGTTTTGGAGCCTTCATTGCCCCATTCAGGAGATGATGTGGCCATGCCACCCCCCTACTGTCCTCCGCTCACTGATGGGGCTTCTCCCCAGGCTCTGATTTCTGTTTCTTCAGTACCTGGAGAATGCAGTGGCACTGCTCTCCTTGTCGTGCTACTCTCTGTCCCTCAGTCTGTATCCATTACCTGTGTCCACAGCATCAGCAAAAAATAGAGCTGTACTCCTCCATGGTTCCAGGACCATGTGTCCAACAGCTTGCCTGACAGCTGTGGCATTTCCCTCTCTGTTCCAGATGTGGAGTGTCTGAAGTAACGTTCAGCATCTTTCCATTTTATAGACATCCGACTTTCCTTCAGGACCCTTTCTGAGTCACCCAGGCTACTGGGGCGGGGGGATTGCAGCTCAGCGCAAAGACCCTGGGTTTAGTCCCTCATACTGTCAAGAAAAACCCAAAAAACAAAAACCACTCCCTCTCAATCCTTCATCTTGTACCTACCCACCATTCTGGGTCAGGCTGGTTAGCTACACTAGGTAGTTGACAAAGGCTGACGACTTGTCTGTGTCACCCACAACCTTTTCCTCTCAGCCTGTGTTTCATATTCTTGGGTTATGTATCTGAGGATTCAGTGAGCTGTGGATTAGAAATATTTGGGGAAAAAAACCTGTCTGTACTGAACACACGCAGACTTTTTTCTTGTCCTTATTCTCTAAACAATACAGAATCACAGCATTATTTACATAGCATTCAATTATGCAGTAAGATAATATAAAAATCATATGGGAGAATGCACATGGGCTGTATGCAAATATTGTCTCATGTTATGTAAGAGAGCATCTGAGGATTCTGGTATGGATGGGGGTCCTTGAACCAGTCCCCCTGGCACTGAGGGATGACTGTGCTTCCAACAGTGCAGCTGAGCTGTGGTTGCTGTCTTCCCAGATTATGGGAGCTCTCCATCACCTCCTGTATAGATTCCTGAGATGAGAGATTAGAGCAGTGAAAGCCTTTTCCTAAGTGACCACGCTAACTCACTGGGCCTTCTTTCTTCCCCTTTCTGTGTAGACCACAGTCAAGGTAGACAGAAATGTGCTCCACTCCTTGGGCCACCTCTTGCTTTGTCTTGCCTCTGACATTTCCCCTCCTGGGATGTCTGGAAACCTGGTCCCCTTCTAACGGGGGCCTGTGTGCAGCTTCCACAGTTGCTCTTGACCCATCCAGAGCATGCACTCATTAAGAAACTGGCCTTATCTCTGTCTTATACTGAGACCACGTGTTTTGCCTCATTTGCTTTCAAACACTCCAGTCCCTAAAAAGGGTTTGTAGATACTTATTCAAAAACTATCCATGCCCCCACAATGACACAGAAGTACAACAGAAAGATTCCCCAAGCAGAGGTGATTTGGAAAGGCTTCCCAAGGGAAATGAAATTTGATTTTCTTGGCTTAAAGCATGAATGAGCCTTCGGTGCATGCCAAATAGTAGGGCAAAGAGTTCTCCGCAAGGGGACAGAAGGCACCATGCAGGGACCAGACAAACAGTGCATGTTCTGAAACTGTGGACAGAATTAGCCTCTAAGTAGATTAATAAAAATAACAAATTAATGCTGAGTGCTCTAGCTACTTGTATTATCTCATTTAATCTTCACTATAAGCATACAAAGTAGCTACAGATAAGAAAACTGAGGTATAAAGAGGCAAGAAAATGAGTCTGCCAGGTGGGGTGTTAGGCCTCCTACCCAGTGTCCTGAGCCCATGCCCCTGGTCACTGCAGGACGGTGCTGCCACTGCCCTCCTCAAGGTGCCTGAGAAGGCAGACAGTCTCACTTCCTGTGCAGAATTCTCACACTGTCTCCTTCCCCAGAGAATGAAAAAACTAGGCCTTAACAGGTGTACACTTAAGAGCTTTGCTAGAAAAATGATTCAGAAATGAGATAGGGACCATATGGGCTGAGCGCGGAGCTGGATTTTAGCCTGTATTCCATGGATCTGGAAGGTTTCATGCAGTGATGTAATGAAAGGGGAGGATGTACGATTAATCTTGTGGTGAATGTGCACTGACGCTAAGGAGATCAATTAGACCGAAAAAGAGAACTTTTAAATAGACAAATTTTACTGGAACAGGCTGACACGATCTGGGAAATGAGCAGAATGGCTTCTAGAGGACTCCAGGGCTTCTAATGGGTTCCCTCTCAGGCATATTCTACTTGTGTCCTTTGTGGTACCCCACAGTGGGTTGGGGGGTGAAGGGTGATTCAGCAAGCATTTGCTATGTGCCTGGTATGTGCCATGTGTTATGCTGGATACTTAAAAAGATAGGCTCCAGTGCCTCAGGATGGAAAGGCCAGAGGCACACCCAGTTCCCATAACCAGGAAGATCTTGCTGGAAGTGATGACCCTGTGACTTTACTCCAGTCCTGAAACTCTAGTAGGAACCATCTTCTTGATCAAGCTCCTTGTTCCTCCAAACCACCATCTTCCTGGTTTTCTTGCTTTGTTCCCTTCTGAATGGGAAAAGGTGAAATTTCACCTCCTGGGCTGTTGCCCTCTGCTCTTGTCACTGCAGTTGGCTCTTTGGAACTTTGGTTCCCACAAAGCGCATGGCCCCTGATCCGTGGAGCTGCCTTTCTGGGTCTGGCCATTCTAGCAGTGTCCGTTTGTGAGAAGAGATTGAGAGCTGGTGCCTGATCCGGCCCTAGAGAAGAAGGCATGTGCTACAGGAAAAGAGGACTCTCAGGGGACACTGTATTCTGGGTGGTTCTTGGTACTTAGCTATGGATTAGTTAGTACTG